CCTTTCCCTTCCCTTTCTCCTTTTCTCCCCTCTCCTTTCCCCCTCCTTCCTTCTCCCCCCCTCCTCAATCTCCTTCTCCTCCTCCTCCTCCTTTCCCCTTTTCCCCCTCCTCCTCCCCATTCCTTTCTCCTCCTCCTCCATCTCCCCCTTGCTCCTCCTCCTCCATCTCCCCCCCCCCCCCTTTCCCCCTTTTTCTCCTCCTACTCCTTCCCCTCCCTCCCCATCTCCTTCTCCTCCCCCATCTCCTTCCCTCCTCCATCTCCTTCCCCTCCTCCTTCATCCCCTTTCCCCCTCTTCCTTCATCTCCTCCTCCCCCTCCTTCTTCTTTTCCCTTCCTCCTCCTCCTTTCCTCCTCCTCCTCATTATTATATATTTCCCCACTACCCAAACTTTGCGGGGACATATAAATCTTTGAATATTTTTCCAAATAATAGTAAAGGGTTTAAAGGGAGGGGTAAATGTCCACCTGTCAGGGGGTTTGTGAAAAATTTGGTACAATTTCATACCTATCTATTGTCAGAACAAAAAAATTGGTTAAAAATGACAAGAACTACTACAAATTGAAATTTTAAACATAAAAAAAAATTCATAAAAAATAAAAATAAAAAAAAAAGGTATATAGGCAAACTTCTCCCAAGCGGCAGGACTGGATTTTGCTGTCACATGGGCTCCACCCCCAAACTTCTGGGCCCCCTCAAAATCTCGGTAAGTACTGACCCCCCTATTATTTTTTGTTCAAAAAACATTCAAAAAATGTGTTTTTTTTCTTCTATAATTTTTTTTTTTTTTAAAAATTTTTCAGGGCACGGGTGGGGTGAACGTATAATAGGGTTTAAAACCTTTTAAAGGGGTTAAATTTTACTCGGGGCAATTCACAATAAAAATCACGAAAGAAAAATAACTGTTTTAGTTTGCAGGGGGTTAAATACTAGTTATTTAAAATTTAATAATCCCAAAATATCCCTCCATTTTTCATCCATCCCTACCAACTCTCAGTCTTCCTCTTAATTCTTTAAATAACCATACTAGGATGTATACCCCAAACCCCAAACTAGGTACTTTCCCTTCAACAACCATACTAGGTACGTTATTTCAACAACCATACTAGGTCGTATACTCAACGACTTATTCCCTAAAATTTTTTTTGCACTCCCCTTGTGAAAAGGCCCAAAGGGGGCAAAAGAGTGAAAAAATTTAAAAGGGGGGAAAAAAGCCCTGACAAGCATACCGGGGTAAAGGAAAGTTTGAGTTATTTTTGAAAAAAATTTTAAAAATAAGAGAAGAGTAAGGACAGCAAAAGAAAAAAGGAGGCCCTTTAAAAGGAAAGGTGGGGGCGTGTAAAACCAAGTGTTTCCTTTTAAAAACATAGGTAAACATTATTTAAAATAAGGCTAAAGAGGTTTTTGTGGCATTTATGGATTTGGAAAGATAAAAAGACAGGGGGGATAGGGAGGAAATGGGGCCCCAGGGGTTTGAAAAATGTATGAAAAAAAGGAGGTAGGTTACTGAAAGCAGTGAAATTTTTTGACAAGGATATGAGGCCAGGTTAAAGTATGTAGAGGGGAGGGGATTTTTTCCCCGGGGTAAAAGTGGGCCCTTGGGAGAAGGATGTGTGAATCCCCAAAGGGTTTTTCCCAATTTTTTATAGATGGTTTGAGGATAAAAAAAATTTTTGGGTTTGATGAAAGATTGGATTTCAGTTTTTGGAGGGGGGAAAAAAAGGGAAAGGAGGTGAATGTTTTTCAGATTTTTGGAGTAGCCCGGTTTCGGGCAATGGGTCTATGAAAATGGGGCGAATCTTTAAAAATTTGATGGGGGGAAAAAAAGGGGGGAGGGGTGCACATGAGTCGGGGAAAAAAAGAAGGGGGGGGGGGCCCCCGGAGGCAAAGAGGGGAATGTATGAAATATAGTTTTAAACCAATGCTCTTTATGGGTTTTAAGAAATTGGGTTATGAATGTTGAAAGCGGGAAAGGGCGGGGAGGAAAGTGGGTTTGTATGTCAGGGAAAATGTGTGGTGTGTATAATGCAGAGAATTCGTAGTTTGGAATTTAGGAGGGGGGGGGATTCCCAAAACTTTTTGTCCAGGGGGGCTGGGGAAAAGGTTGTTGAGGTGGTTGGGAACCATGTAGAGAAAAAGGAAGCGAAACAGAGGACTTCAAGAGTGTATAAATTGGGTAGGGGAAAGGAAGGCGGGGTTGGGGTCGGCCAAAGGAAAGGGTTTGGAGGGGGGGGGTAAAGGGGGGGTTTTTTTGTGCGAGGGGTTGGACTTCCAGAAAGGTATGCGGAGCGGGGTTTATAGGAGGAATGGGGGGACAAAGGGTTTTTTAAAATATTTGGGACGGCTGTTGGGGGATTGAGCAATGTAACATTTATGAAGGGGTTTAGGGAAACCGGGAAAGGCCCGGGAATTTGATTTCCTGGAAAAATGGGAAAAAAAGTGCCTGAAACTCTGAAGGAGGGGTTTAAAAATGTTGCATTTTAAAAAACCTGTAGAGTAAAGCCCCCTTCTGGCAAAAAACAGTGTTTGGAGTGAATAAATGGGGGAAAGTTTTTCTTTTGGGGGCCCACCCTGCCTTGGGGGGGAAATGGGCCAGTGGGGAAATTTAATAAAAAAAAATTTGTAAGGGGAAGTGAATCCCTTGGGCTTTGGCAAGAGATGTAGGGTTTAAAAGTTTAAAGAATCTAACAAAAGTGGGAGTTGCCAAAATTTGCTTTTTGGGCTGAGGGCCCACTGGCTTTTGGAAGTTTTTAAAGAGAAGTTGCAGAGGTTGGGGATGATTTTGGGGTTTTTGGTATTAAAGGAAAAAAAATTAAAAGTGAAAAAAGGGTTTAAGTGAAAAGCGATAAGGATAAAAAAATAATTAGGTGAAAAAAGACTGGATATTAGATTGGGGGGAGAGAGAAATGGGGGAGGTGAATGTACGTATTCAGTTTTTTTAGGAGTGTAAAAGGGGTCACAACGGGCCCAAGAAAATGAGGGAATCACAGAATTAAGAGGGGGAAAAAGGTGAGTGGTGCACTCAGGGGGTTTTGGGAAAAAAAATTTGTCCATGGGAAACAAAAAAAGGGGGAATTTTTTTGAGATATAGTTATACCCCAAAACTCTTAAAGTGGGTGTGAAACATGGGGGGTTTATGCTGCAATAAAGGGGAGGGCCCGAAAAGGGAGTGGGATTTTCATGTCTGAGGGCAATGTTGGTGTAATAAAAAGCAGGAAAAATTTTAGTTTTTTTAAAAAAAAGGGGGTGGTGTGGGATTTCCCAAAATATTATCCAGAGGGCTGGGAGGGGTTTTTAGAGTTAGTTCCGAAGTAAGAGGGGGGGAACAAAAAGAATCACTTCGAGGTGATAAATCTGTAGTGGAAGAAGGCGGGGCAGAGGCGGCCAGGAAAGGTTAAGGGGGGGTTAAAAGGGGGCTTTTTGTACAAGGGGCTTTGGGCTTTTCCCGCCAAAAATTTTCACGAAACCCCCAAAAAAAAATTTGTAGATTGAATGGAGACAAATGGTTTTTTGTACTTGACGGGGCCCGTTGGGGTGTGAAAAAGGTAAACCCTTTAGGAAGGAATTTAGGGGAAAATGGAAGCCAGACTTAAACCTGGAAGGGAAGTACAGTGCCTGCTTCTAAGGAGGATTTTTAATGTTTCAGTTTTATAACTGTAGTGTAACGGGCCTCTGGCAAGACAGGATGGATTTAATGATGGTGAAAGTTTTTCTTTTTTTTGAATCCCCCCTGCCTTGGTGGGGGCAGTAATGTGTTAATAAAAAAAAAAAATACAGTACTTTTTTTAATACACATATAAAAAAAAAAAATATAGTACCCTTGTTTACTAAGGGATATAACTTTTTTCTTTTTAACAAACCCCAAATCCCACTAAGGCAAAAGGGACCCCCCCCCCCCCAAAAAAAAAAAAAAGAAATTTCCCCCTTTTTAAACTTTAGTAATGTTACAAAGGGTTTTCTACCCTTGCCCCCCTGGGAAGTTAGTCCCCCTCTTACAACAGCATGACATTCAGAGGAAGAATTCTGTTCAATTCCACATGAAGTTTAAAAAAATAAAACCAAGAACAAGAACTAGTAAGAAAAAAGAAAAAATCCCCGAGGGGTGTTTTAAAATACATGCTTTTTACATTTTAAAAAAAACCCCATTCTATAAACATGTTAAAAACATACACAGATACAATAAAACAGGCTTAGAAGCAACTGAATGGAAGCCAAAAAGGGAAAAATTAACACTGGGTGGCCATGTAAGTAGTACAAAACAATTCCACAACCTTACAAAAACCCCCTGTAGAAAAGAAATTCGCTTTTCACTTTAAAGGGGGGTTTCTTATGTCAAGTTTTGTTAAATCTAATTACAAATTTTAAAATAAATTTAAATCCTCTACCTGTCATCATAAATTTTTCCCCCAGCAATTTTGGAATTTTTTGGTTTTAAGCCCCTTTTCCAAAGTTAAAAAGTATCCGTGATAGTTTTTAAAAGCTTTAGCATCAATCACAGCTGACAGAAGGGGTTTAGGCTCTCTGACATCACCAACCTTCAAATCTTTTTGTACGTCAAAAAATTTTTTTTTTATCTGCAAAAAAAAATTTAAAGGGATTAAAAATGATCAGAAAAAAGTGAAAAAAAACAAAAAGGTCTCTTACCCCCCCAAATATGAAACAAACTTACAAAAAAAGTGTTTAAAAAAAAATTAAAAATTTACAAACTGAAAAGAAAGAATTCAACTGTTTTTAAATTGAGAACCTTTTTTGTATTTGAAAAAATTTCTGATTTTATATAAAAAGAAACTAAGGAGAGATAGATTTTAACTTTTCCCCTGGCCACAGTGATTCCAAGGGGAAATAGGACGAAACAAGCTGAGCACTTCTGCCCCCAATATCAAAGGTTTTAACGGAAAGTGCCATTAAAACTGAGGTTTAAAATCAGGGAGATGGGTGAACAAGGGGATAATTCTTAAACCCCCCCACTCCCCAACCGGGGAGGGAAAAATTTTTCATGTTGGGAAGTTTTCACCCCCTGCCCCCCACAGTCGCTGGAAGGTTCTGTACAAACATTACAAAAAAAAATTAACCCCAAAATTTTCTGCACCCAAAATTCCCCGGGATTTTTAGGGTTTTCAGTACTGCCCCCTGCCTACTTTTTTAAAAAAATGAAATTTAGCCTTTTAAACCAACATCAAAAAAAGAAAACTTTTTTTTTAACATTTTGGCCCCTCCCCACTACCCGGGGTGACCCCAAAAAAAAAGGGAAAAAAAAACTTTCACCATCATTCACAAAAAATATCAATGTCTTTTGGCCCGAGGCACCCAGATATGACATTTTTTCCCCTCCTTTAAAGTGTGGGCACTGTACTTCCCACCTCTAGGACCCAAGTTTGGCTAACCGGTTTCCCTGAATCCTTCACGAAACATTACCCTGCTCACACCCAACCCCTCATCAGGTCCCCAAAACCATTCGTCGCCATTCACTCCTATCTAACACACTCACACATGCCTGCTGCATGTTCCAGGCCCCTTGCACACAAAACCTCTTTTACCCCCTCCCTCCATCCTTTCCTAGGATGACCCCTACCCCTCCTTCCCTTCACTACAGATTTATACACCCTCCAAGTCAACCTATTTTGCTCCAACCTCTCTAAATGACCAAACCTCAACAACTGATCTTCAGCCCCTCTGAATAATACTTTCAGTAACTCCACACCTCCTAATTTCCACACTACGAATTCTCTGCATAATATTTACACCACACATCACCCTTAGACATGACATCTCCATTGCCTCCAGTCTCTTTCTCACTCCAGCATTTACAACCCATGCTTCACACTCATGTAAGTGTGTTGGTACTACAATACTCTTGTACATTCCCTTCTTTGCCTCCATAGATAATGCTTTTTTGTCTCCACAGATACTTCAATGCACCACACACCCTTATCCTTCATGAATTCTATGGTAAAACTCATCCTTCATAAACCTATCTGCTGACAAATCTACTCCCAAATATATCTGAACACATTCACTTCTTCTATACTCCCTCCCTCCAATGTGATATCCAATTTTTCTTACCAAGCTTGTTTGATACCCACATCACCTTATTCTTATACAGTGGAACCTCTACTTGTGAGTTTAATCTGTTCCATGACCTTGCTTGCAACTGGATTGCTCGTTTGCAGAGTCAGTTTTCCTCTTTTAAAATTAATTGAAATGCAATTAATCCGTTCCAGTGGAATTCTGTACTTCAATAATTTCGCTAATATCAACTCTATGGCTTACTTATCTATCTCATTTCATCTAATATGACATACAGTGGACCCCAGAGTTTCGTGATTAATCCATTCCATCAAAGCCCGCCGAAGGTCGAAATTCACGAAACTCGAAACCATTTTCCCCATAAGAAATAATGGAAATAAAATTAATCTGTTCCAACACCCAAAAATATTAAAATAAAATATTTTTTTTTTCAAATTAAATAAAGATTTACATAATGAAAACAATCAGAAATCAAGTACATACATTTAAAATAAATAATAACATTACACTTACCTTTACTGAAGACTTCTGGGTGGATGGAAGATGGGAGGAGGTGATAGGAGGAAGGGTACACTATTGTTTGGAAGGAGAATCTCCTTCCATTAGGACTTTAGGTAGCAAGTCCTTATCTGGGGTTACTTCCCTTCTTTTAATGCCACTGGGAACAACTTGAGAGTCACTGGACCCCTGGCGCACAAAATATCTATCCAGAGGGGTCTTTTTCTGGCGTTTAAGATTTCCCTGAAGTGGGACACAACACTGTCATTGTACATGTTGCAGATACGGCTTGTTTCAGCTTGGTCAGGGTGATACTTTTCAACAAAACTTTGCAACTCATTCCACATTCCACACATGTCCTTAACCCTTTGACTGTTTCAGGCCTCTCTCTGAAACTGTCATTCTATGTCGCCAAATATTCGAAAAAAAAAAATTATTTTTTCTTATGAAAATGTTAGGAATATTTTTACTAGTGTTTTCAGCCTAAAAATAAATTTTTTGCCATCAGTACTTACCGAGATAATAGAGCCGCAAAGTTTGCAGAAATTGACGTGCGTACAGCAACAGCGCGAGTGCCGCCACCCGGTATTCTTTTATTTACTCTAATTCAAAGGTTTCTTGCATTTTTCAATATTTTTCTGTTCCAGGTAACTTATGTGGCTGTGAGACCAATGTAAGGTGCATTCTTCAAATATACACTCATTGTTTACAACACAATAACAGAACAAACTTTATCACTATTAGTTTGTGTATACACTTTGTTTACACAAACAAACAATACAAAACAATGTTTATTACTATTGTTCCATAATAATATACATATGTACAGTCACTAAACACGTTTCCTAGAACTGCTGCAGCTTGTGGGAACTCTTTGAAACATGGGTATATGCAGAGGGGCACTTCACACTCCTCACACACAAAACGAGTGTCTCTGCGTGTTTGTGGGCGTTTTGTGGTATGCATACATACATAACACCTCTTCTGAGCATTTTTCTTGGCAGCAGTAGGAGGCAGTTGTATGGGGTAGTGATCACCAGGCCTCATACGAGATGATGTCTGTGGGCGCTGGTCTATTGTAGGAGTTGCTCCTTGGTACTTTGCAATTGTCTGATTACTGACAGGCAAAATTCACCATATTTTGTGTTTGTTGGTCTTCAACTTGTATATGTTATAAGCATTTAGCATAGAGATATCAACAAGATGGAAAAAAAGTTTGATATACCACTTATAACTCTTGTGTACACAGTCTGCAAACCCAATCTGCATGTCACATTTGTCCATTAAGCGCATATTGAGGTTGTAGTCCATGACAGCTGCAGGCTTTAGAATGGGTTCATTGGTCTCTCTGCTGTCCCTGCCACTGGGTACCATTTCCTTTGGGTGAACTGATGTCAACAATGTGACATCACGTTTGTCATGCCACCGAAATGCCATGATGTCATTGGCAGCAAAGGCTTGCACCTCACCTCTGCGAGTGCCAGCGTCGAACCTTGGCATATGTTTGCGATTACCACGCACTGTGCCACACACATCTGTCAAGTTCACTCGCAAGAAATCACTGAGTAAGGGGCTTGTGTACCAGTTATCAGTAAATAACATATGCCCCTTACCAAGATATGGTTCCATCATTGTTTGAACCACATCACCAGAGATACCCAATAACTCATGGTATCTCTCAAAGTATTACTGCCAGTGTACACAATAATATCCAAAACTAGACCACTTTTGCAATCACACAGTACAAATAGCTTTATACCAAAGCGTTTCCTCTTGTTTGATATATATTGCTTGAATGAGAGTCTTCCTTTGAATAAAATCAAGGACTCATCAATAACAAGCTTCCTGAAGGGATAATAAATACATCAGCAGCACTTTTGTTTCAGGTACATAAACACATTTCTTATCTTATATAACCTGTTGCTTCTGTCAGGCCTGGTTTTGTCTGAAAAGTGTAAAATACGTAACAGTATCAGGAACGATTGACACCTATAATGTCACTAAAACCTGGAGTTGAAATCAGGCCGATCTGTTGTCCAGTATGTGGTGACAGTGTGCTATACACATGTGGCATAAGCATTATTGTGGCAAAAAACAGGTACATCTCTGCCACAGTTGTCTCCTTCCACTTGTGTAGCCGTGATTTTGGTGAGAGAATTGTATTTGCCATGGTGTAATCAGAGTATGTGTTTGTTTCCCTGACAATGATGTCCATCAGGGGTTCATCGAAGAATAACTCAAAGCAGTCCAGTTCACTGGCATTGTTCCCAAGTGGACAAGATGGCTTTATTCCACTTTGTGTTCATCAAAGTCATGGGGACTGGGAACAAACTCGTCACCGTCCTGCCAATCCCAGATGCGGTCTGCTGGTGGGGTCTGGATATTGTACCGTGGTTGTGGTTGTGCAGGTTGTGGTTGTGCAGGTTGTGGTGGTGCAGGTTGTGGGAGTGTGGGGTAGGGTGAGGCTGGTTGTTGTGCTGAGTCAGCGCGTGGGTAGTAGCGTGGCCCGGTGATGGTGCCACATGGGCCGTGCCACCCTCACTATCACCACCACTGCCTCCTCCCTCACTGTCACCATTCATACCCATCGTTACAATATCGTCATCTTCACTATCATGTCGTGGTGTAGGGCCACGGGATGTGCTCCCAGAGTTTCTCCTTCCCCTTGGAACAACAAATGAAACACTACCAGACCGCATGCTACGTCGTACATACTGCCGCTTCACTGGGGAATATTCACTCTCACTGTCACTAGAACTGCTTTCAATGACCTTGAAATCACTATCACTATCACTATCACTGCTATCATCTGGGTGTTGTACACGACCAAATAGTTTCCTCTTTCGTCCTGGTACAGGCGAACGTGAACAAGCCAGCACAGCACCAGAGGTGGAAGGTTGTGGGTTATCTGGGTTTTCGTCACTAATTACATTATCCTGGGCACTTTTTTCGGTAACACTCACTTCAAAACCCTGGAATTCACTGTCACTGACATTTTCATCGCTGTTAGAGCTATCACTTGGGAACAAAAGACCTCCAATCCGCCGAGGAGTGAGGAACTTCTTACCGAGAGGCATGGTGAAAATGGACTGACAACATGGCGTTCCCACAATGCACCGCTGGGTCCCAGATTTTTTTCACAGGGTGCACACCAACCACTGAGACCCATTCTCTCCCGTGTAGGCCTACCAGGCCTTTGGCGCTTGATTTGAAGCCGCTAGAATTTGTACGTCAGAAACATTGGCTCGTAAGACGTATTTATACGTCGGAAACAGTCAAAGGGTTAATCACTGAAGAAGGCACCTCATCCACTCCCTCTTCCTCCTCCTCTGAAGCAAGTTCCTCGGCTGTGGTCTGATGCTGTTCCAGCTGAAGCTCTTGCAGTTCATCAGTGGTTAGCTCTTCCCTGTGGTCCTCCACCAACTCTTCCACATCCCCGTCACTCACTTTATTTACCAAAGGGCTTGCACTAGCTTTACTTGGGTCCATGATGACTTATTTAACAGTTGCAAGCACAA